TACTAAAACTCCCTAATTGACGTGTCTTTTCCAACACAAATCGTCACACCAAGTAAGATAAAACGTATCGTGCCCAGTTCAGAGCATTGCTTATTAGTGAAGTGTCGAAGCGTCAGGTCCTTTGGGACGCAGCTCAAAAACTTTAGGAACAATGGGACTAAAGAGCAACTCTGGAAAGAGGTGACTGAGGCCGTAAAAGTGATCCCCAAGACCATTATGAAACCACTGCACTACTACGGGAGGTTCCGGTCCAGGAGTTTCGGGTCAAGAATATCAGTTGGAGTCTTTATATCCGAGGAAATTGCTGCGCGTGACGCTGCCGTGGGTGATCCTACATTTCATCCTCAGCAACAACAAAGTTTGAAGAAAAAAAAAAACACATAAACAAATAAGACTAAACTTTATTTAGTATTTTAAACGCTTTTTTGTTTTGTTTTATTCAGGTGAAATGGAAGGAGAAACTGAAAACTAAGGCATTAAAATTGTTGTTAGAAGCCGCTGTTACCGACTTTGCGCATCTGCTTGCTGCAAGCAACATTCGCCATGGCAACGGCAGAAAACTAAAGCAGAAAACGCTTATTTGAAAGGAAACCTCGCGATCCGTGCCGCCGCGCCGCTAGCGGCTGCGATTTCGACCGCGGAATCGCTGCATGTGAAACCCCTTTTGAGAATGACACCGGATTGAGAAAGCCGTGGAAGCTCCGCTTTCAGGCACGCGTTCGTCGCCTGCCGTCGTGCTGTGATTGTGCTTGAGTATCGAAACTTTTTTGGACGCCCCGATCGACGGTCAGAAAAAAAGCAGACCACAGCCACGGAGCAGACGTAGACTAATGCTCGCGCCACACGGGCAACTCGAATGCCATTTACCACGAATGACATTTGTGTGATCGGCGAATCAGCTCGCAATCTGTCGCGCGTGGAATGCGCCACGCCCGGAGTGTCGCGCGCTGATTGGCCGTCCGCTCAAATTTCATTCTTTCTAAATGGCATTCGAGTTGCGCGTGTGGCACGTGTATAAGCCTTACGTAACCGACGAAGTGGCAAGCAGACGATAAGAACAGTGTCGGTATACGCGAGGCAGACTGGGATTGAGTTCCTTTTTCGGCGCCGCTGAGCATGGTGTCATGCCGGGTCTCCTGGGGTGTTTTAACGTCCTTGGTGCATATTCGGCTCTAGATTTGATCGGCACGGCTCATTTGGTGAAAAGCTGAACTAAGCTTCGTTTTACACTTACTTGGAGCAAACCGAACGCTATGCACGCGGGGCCGGAGCCACGTGAGACGAGAATGCAGCACTCGGAAACTGGAATCAACTGCTAAGAGCTTGTGCTCTGTGCCTTTGCCTGTGCTCTGTGCCGTTAGTGTGAATGCTTTGTCTCTACCCGTATTTCGGACAGATGAAATCACCACGTGCCTCTCGGAGAACCACTGATAAACAAGAGCACGCTTCCCCTAATTTTAATCTGGGTCTCGAGGCCAATAGGGAGCATTCATTGGCGTCCATAACTGCGTGCGCAACTGCTGAGCGCGTTGCTGATGGTGAGCTTCAACCGTTTTTTTGTAACTTCCTTTCGACCAGGGTGTCGAACCGAACCCGAACCCGAACCGAAAACCGGATCAATAACGTTATTTTTGACCGAACCGGAACAAAACCGAAACCGAAATTGAACGCTCCCTATTGAACCCGAACCGGAACGAAACCATAATATGATGTGGCGGTTACCGGTTCAACGAAAACGGTTCAGGGCCAGTTGTGTCAATAATTGGTCTAAATGGGAAAAGTTGCGGGCGTATTTTTTGTTATGTTGCCAAGTCTAATCCTACATACTGTAAGATATTTTTACATTTTGTTTTTATTGCATAGGTAATAAAGAAATACATCATCGTCTTTAGAGCTTCAACTTTCCTTTGTTTCTTGGATGGACCCTGGCGGCGCGGTAGCGGCGGCGGCGATTTCAAACCACCGCTTGGCCGCTTGGCTACGAATTGTCCAAGTGTCGGAGCGGATTGCGCCACTGTAGGCAGGGAGCCCACGCGTCCGCGAATGTTTGACCTCAAGAAAGTCCGTAGTTGCAGTCGATGAGCCATTTAGTCAATCGAGCACCGAGAGCGCACCACGTGACCTTCCGCTTGAGTTCAGCGACAGCCTGGAGGAAGGTGGAACTAGGTTGCTCAATGTCCTTCTGTTTAAGGCGATGCCACCCTTTGTAGTCCCCGATGTCGACAGCACCCGCTCACGGGTAAAATATAAAGAAATCGACGAAAACAAAATGTCGCCATAGAACAGCCAGAGCCACAAACGCGTGAGGGACACGCTCTTTTACGCGTTTCTGAACAAAAAATACAAATAAAAGTGTGGGACAAAATGGCCAGATGTCTCCACCCTAAGCAAAGCGCACATGAAGGCACCCTAGGGGAGACAAGTACCGCGACAATCCCTTCTTCAACGTGCTCAAAGCGTTGCCTTACAAAAAAAAAAAAAGAAAAAAAAAAAGACATGGGCTGCTGGAGGCAACGTCACTCGGCGATGATTCGCCCACACGCCGCGTCCTGGAAGGAGGCCGATGGGGTGGGGGAGTTTGGGGGGGGGGGGGGGGGGGAGAAGAAGATGTGTGTGTGTTTATTCTTTTTGTAGGTTTGTCAGACTAGCAAGGGCCAGCATGTCACCTGTTTAAACATTTTCCCATTTTTGTTTGAAGTCCTCTCTCATCGTCTTCAACTGAGCATTCGAGAAACGTCGTTGGCTATGGTTTGGTTTACCGGAACTTTGTTCGGTGGCTGACATGTACAAATGAAACGGTCTGAGTACCTCGGACCGGATCATTTGCATCATAGAGCTTTGTTTGCGATAAAAACTCAAAGTGACTAAGCAAAGCATCACCACGAGATCTTCAGAACAGCGTTTTTTCCGCCGGAGCCCAAGGCGCTGTGACGATGAAGTCACATATCGTTATACGTGCGTGTTCACGTGCCCGGTCATTGACACATCGGGCAGTCTGGCCGATGTATACACGGCCACAGCTAAATGGGATTCGATAAACTACCCCAACTACGCACTCGACGTACCTGTTTCTGTGTTTTACGGCACATTTGTTTCCTCTCGTTCCCCTCTCAGCCACTCTGGGACATAGCTGCGACATCTTCCGGGGTGCCGAAAACAGGTAGCATGTATAAGAAAAAACACGTGTGTGCAGAACAAAACAAACCAAAACGTATGAAGGGCAAGCAATCTAGCTGGAGACCTTTTTACAGTTTACAAAATCACAGCCCAGCACGTGCGTGTTTCTCGCTTCGGAAAGCGAGCAAAGCACGCGTTATACGCCCGAACACTAAAGATGGCACCGGCCAGATGCTCTTAGGGGCCCGTTTCCAGCCTGAGCGGCGTCGGCGTCGGCGTAACCGAAGGGGGGGGGGTCACGTGACCCCCCCGAGATCACGTGACCCCCTCCCCGAGGTCACGTGACCCCCCCCCCTCCCCCGACATCATGTGACCCCCCCCCCCCCCGAGGTTACGTGACCCCCCCCCCCCCCCCCGAGGTGACGTGACCCCCCCCCCCCCCCCCCCCCCGAGGTCACGTGCCTAACCGCGGGTGACGTGACCCCCCTCAGTACCCTTCCCTACTCCTCCTCAAGAGCTGCGCTCCAATTCGGCGTTACAGGGATTTGTAAACGGCTTTTTAGAGCGCAGCTCTTAGGGGCCCGTTTCCGGCTTGAGCGGCGTCGGCGTCGCCGTCGCCGTCGGCGTAACCGCGCGGTGCATCATGGGAAATGTCCCATAATGCACCGCGCGAGCCCCCCACCGGGGTCACGTGACCTCGTGGGGGGCACGTGACCCCCCTGTCAGGTTCGTCCGGGGTGGTGAGAGGAAGGATCGGGAGACTGAGACAAATGCGTGAGGAAAAACAAATATATATATATATTCAAGTCAGGAAGTAAAATTAAAAAGAAAAAGGCAACGTTAGAAAGGCAAAAGAAAAGAAACCATTCGACCGTCCAAGCACGTTCGGTAGGCAGTATAGTCACCCCTGGGGTCGTAGCCCGGGCCGCTGGTGCCTTGATGGTTCGCCCTCTTGATCGTTGGTGAAGTAGAGCGGGCGGCGATGTCGGGAGGGGGCTGGTTATCTCGGGTACGGGTGCCTTGATCCCGGGACGGAGCCGGTTGCGCTGCTGGTCACCGTGCTGAAGCCGGTTACGTTGAAATTGAGCTTCCCTGCAGCCTGGACAGAGCCAGGCTCGTTGATTCTCAGCGCGTTGGGGCCGGGACGGAGCCGGGTAGCGCAGCACACTGACGCCGGGACGGAGCCGGGCAGCGCACCGTTCGAGCAGCCAACCGTCGCGGCTCTTGGTCCAGTTTTCGAATCCCTTCGCACCCGCGATACCGCTCTTCTTTTTCTTCCCTTCTCTTTCTTCCTTTTCTTTTTCCAAATCATGACATTACCCCACAAACACGAGAAGTTTGTAAGAAACTTCTATCTTGTCCGTTTCTTCTCTTCCAGGTGCCGTCACAACATCGCTGATCGCAACCGAGAGATACGAGCTTTTGTCACGGCACTTTCACAACACCCGCCACGAACGATAACGCCATCACTCCACCGTTGCCGAAATGTCACACCATTTCACACTTTTACCAAACAAAAAAAAAAGTTTTACAAACGAAGAATCTCTGATTCGTTCTTCAATCATACACTAAAGCACCTCGTCGTAGGTCGAACTTATTCTTATTCAGGAGAAATTTATCCGATAAGCGTACAACCATAAAACACACACAAAAAAAAAAAAAAAAACAACCAAAGACCTTATAAGAGCCTACGACACCGACCAGCTGCCAAGGTTGGTACCTGTTAGAACCTAAGTCGATACTGACTCTGGTTCCTCGATACCGCTGACGTATATACGGATTTGTGGCACGCACCTCTCAATCAGCTCCGGTCAGTGAACCATCTCCCTCTTGAAAGGCACCCTAGAGCCGGCTTAAAAAGTCTGCGCCCACGTTATCCCTACCTTTAATATACTCTACGTTGAAACTGTGATCTTGCAACGCCATGCTCCATCTCATTACCCGACTATTCGTGAGTCTTGCCTTGTTGAGAAATTCCAGCGGCTGATGGTCAGTCTGGACGCGAAATGTCCTCCCATACAAAAAGAGCTTAAACCGGCCAACTGCCCAAACCAGCGCTAGACATTCCTTTTCCACGGTGGCGAAGTTCTTTTCAGAGTTAGTCAGTTTCCGACTGGCATATGCTACTGGGTGCAGCATCCCTTCCTTCTCCTGCAGTAACACTGCCCCCAAACTCGCTTCTGACGCATCAGTGCGTAACACAAATTCCTTCTCAGGATTTGGTGACAGCAAAATCGGTGGCTCGTCCAAACGTCTTTTTAACTTTGTGAAAGCCTCCTCTTGCCTCGGGCCCCACTTGACACCATTAGGTGCTCCCTTTCTAGTCAGGTCTACCAACGGCGCTGCAACTTCTGCGTAGTTTGGAACAAACTGCCTGTAGAATCCTGTTAGTCCGAGAAACGAACGAACTTGGCGTTTCGTTTGCGGTCGTGGTGCATCTCGGACCCTTTCGATGATTTGTGCATCCGGAGCTATATTACCCATTCCAATTTCATGTCCAAGAAAACTAATTTCTTCGAACCCTATCTGACATTTCTTGGGTTTTACTGTGATGTTCGCTGCTCGTTGACGTTCAAAAATCGTCCTGAGCGTCTCTATATGGTCCTCCCATGAACTTGTTGCCACTAGGATATCATCAATGTAGTGATGCGCGTCTCGCACCCCATCTAGGAGCTTACGCATCAGCTTTGTAAACGTAGCGGAGGCGGTCTTCAGACCGAACGGCATAAACTTGAACTGATAATGCCCGCTCGTCGACGAAAATGCCGTCTTTTCCTTGGCGTGGTCATCCATCGGAATCTGCCAGTAGCCTTTGGCTACGTCAAGTTTTGAGAAGAAACGCTTTTGTCCCGCCTTGACCAACGTCATGTCGATTCTTGGTATTGGCTCTGCGTCAGGATGTATGACGTCATTCAGCCGTCTGTAATCGATACAAAATCTGTTCGACCCGTCTTTCTTCTTCACAATGACCACTGGGGCATTGTACGATGACGTACACCTCTCTATTACGTCCAACTTGAGCATCTCTGTGATTTCGTTCTCGACTACATCTTAAACAGCCAAAGGTAGTGGATACTGTCTCACATGTATCGGTTGTGGAGTGGTGAGCTGAAGGTCACATGTCATGAGGTTTGTCCTACCAGGAAGATCAGAAAAGATATCGCTGAAGTCCTTTATTAACTCGCGTGCCTCGCAAGACTTGTCTCTTTCTAACTTCCCGTTTATGACGACATCCTGCCACCCTTGTTGCTTTGTCAAACTCAGCATTGGAATATGACCGTCTTCTTCAGTGTCGTGTCTGGAGTCGTTCATTTCGTGAGTGCTTGCTGCAGCATTGCAAACTGCCTGCTCCTGTCGACTTCCTTCCCTCTCTTCATACTTCTTTAGCATTTGATGTGAAAAGTCTTCGTCCTTCCTCCCATGTCTAACTCGTAGTCAACTTCATTCCTTCTTGTCAACACAAGGAATGGTCCTTTCCACTGCATTATCATCTTGTTTTTATCTGTAGGGAGAAGAATCAACGCCAAGTCACCTTGCTTCAACTTCCGGTTGGAACTCTTTCTGTCGTAGTACCCCTTGTACTTTGCTCTTGCTTCCTCCAAGCAACTGTGCGCTAGCTTGCACGTCTCTTCTAGCTTCTCTCTCAACTCCAACATGTACCCGTACGATGTCTTCACTTCTTCTTTGAGGGTTTCGTTCGACCAGACCTCTTTCAGAATGGCCAGAGGACCTCTCACTCTTCTTCCGTAGAGCAGCTCAAACGGTGAGAACTTGAGACTCGACTGTGGTACTTCTCTGTACGCGAACAGGAGGGCTGGTAGGTATCTGTCCCAGTCACGAGGCCTTTCCTGGCACATACGCTTTAACATCTGCTTGATCGTGCCGTTGAGTCTCTCTACTAGTCCGTTCCCCATAGGGTGATAGGGAGTGGTCATGAGATGTTTCATTGATAGAAGTCGGCTGACCTCTTTCATTAGTTCTGATGTAAAGCACGATCCCCTATCGCTAAGAATTTCTCTCGGTACTCCATATCTTGTGAACATCTCCATCAGAGCTTCGGCTACTTCCTGCGCCCCGATGCTCTTCATCGCTACTGCATCCGGATACCGCGTCGCCATATCTACCATTGTCAGGATGTATCTGTTACCTGAGCCTGCCCTCGAAGCGATGGGGTTAATTAAGTCTAGCGCCACTCTCTGGAAAGGTGTCTCAATAGTCGGCATTCTTCCTAGAGGTGCCCTACCAACCTTGCCTTTGGGTATTGTACGTTGGCATATATCACATGATCGAACATACCTCTTGATCTCGCTCTGCATACTTGGCCAAAAGAATTCTTCAGCCACCAGGTTGAGCGTATTCTTCATGCCCTGGTGTCCTGACATGATGCTGTCATGTGCGAGAGCGACAACGGCGGCCCTGAACTTTTTCGGGAGCACCAGCTGTTCTGTCTTTCGTCCCGAAGAGTATTCCGCCGTCCTGTACAGAAGATTGTTCTTCATGAAGAACTGGAACTTGGTCCTGCACTTGTGCCTTCTTGTGACCGTTCCAAGATCGTCGAAGCACCGAGTTAGAGTTCCGTCTGCTCTCTGTTCTCTAGCGAGTTCTTCCGCTGTGGTATTAATTATCGCCACTTGAGGTACACTCAGAGGCGTCTCACTTTTCGCCTCATTTCGTGCGGCGCCTGTTTCCCGGGCTGCAGCAACCTCTGCTGGTTCCACCTGATGTAACAAGTCCCTTTTGTTGTCACTGGAATCGGTATTTTTGCTGGCATCTGCCTCCTTACCAGTACGCCGATTCACCTTTACCTCATCATTCAATCCCTGACCCGCCAACTCATCTACTTTTACCCAAGCCGGGTTCGGGTCATTAGCGTCTCGTATTCCCGGTATATTTCCCAACACCAGGTCATATAGTGGATTGCTGACGCACTTTGCCAACACCTTCCCTGTGTAGTAAGGCGTTTGCACAAAGATCTCAGCCTCAGGTAAATACCGGACCGTTCGATCCAACAGAAACACTGGATTCGACTTGCCAGTTAGGTTCTCTTGAGGAATCAGCTCCTCGCGAACTACAACGGTATTACATCCGGTGTCTCTTAATACCGATATCCTATGGTCCCCGAGACGACCTTCCACGACGGGCGTGTTCTCTACTAAGAACTTCGGGGCCCTCCCCATGGCAGCGTTAACAAATGGAATCTTATCGCCATTACTCAAGGTGACGCAACAGTCATCTGACTTGTCGCAGTTGCCTGGAGACATCGTCCAGAAGCATGAAGCTTGGTGTCTCTCGTTCGGCTTTTCTCTACACGCGTCAGCCTTGTGACCACTGCGACCACAGTTCCAACACAGCAGAACCCTTCTTCCTTGTGCACTACTCCGGCAGTTTTCTGCTCTGTGCCCAGACTTTCCACACAGGAAGCAGCGGATGCCTTTTTGAGCCTCACCTTTTCTGCGATTCCCCTCGCTTATGGCACTTTGCTTATTTCCGATCTCGTCTCCTCTTTGTTTACTTGTGCTAGGTTGTCCCTGAGCCTCCAAAAACAGGTCAGCCTTAGCTGCCACGTCATCCAAACCTTGACAGTCCCGCTCTCTTAGAAATATTGCCAGCTTGCTTGAGCAAGTCAGCAAGAACTGCTCCACCAAGACATTGTCTCGCAATGCTTCAAAAGTCTTATCAATCCCTGCTATCTCAATCCACCTATCAAAGTACCCTGCCAATCGGGCCGCAAACTGTCTTCTTGTCTCGCCGTCTTCCGGCTTGGATTCTCGGAACCTGTCGCGGTATCCCTCTTTGGTATAACGAAACCGCTGGAAGAGTGCTAGCTTCACCTTGGCATATAGTCCAACGCATCTGCCGGTGTCATCCGACCGACAACCGTGAGTGCCTCCCCGGTTAAGCAAAGCCCCAAATTAGTGGCCCACTTTTGCTGAGGCCATCCTAAGCCTGTTGCAGTGCGCTCAAAGCGCTGCAAGTATGCGTCTAGGTCGTCTCGACGCTCATTAAATTGCGGGATGAGCTTATGTGGGCTCCCAAAGCTCCTGGAGCCTGGTGGTTCCTCACGCGCGCCTTCCACATCTTCTGAACTGTTACGTGAATTATCGCGCGCTGCTATTCGTAGTTGAAGCACCTCCCGCTCCTTGTCCAGTTTCGCGCACTCCGCCGCTAAAGTTCTGTCAGCAGCCTCCCGTTCTAACCTCGAGTGCTCGCGCTCCTCAGCTCTTTCTGCTCTTATCCGGACTTTCTCCTCATCCACCCACTTCCTCAAATCTGCTCCGGAATAGCCTAATTCTTTCGCTACCGCGATTAACTTGTCAGTTTCCATTGTTGAAATACCACCCAAATCTCCCTCACCCTTCTCACCCTCCGGAAAAAGATGTGACTATGATGTAATGGGCCAGCTATCCTGGCAGGCTCGCCAAATTGTCAGGTTCGTCCGGGGTGGTGAGAGGAAGGATCGGGAGACTGAGACAAATGCGTGAGGAAAAACAAATATATATATATTCAAGTCAGGAAGTAAAATTAAAAAGAAAAAGGCAACGTTAGAAAGGCAAAAGAAAAGAAACCATTCGACCGTCCAAGCACGTTCGGTAGGCAGTATAGTCACCCCTGGGGTCGTAGCCCGGGCCGCTGGTGCCTTGATGGTTCGCCCCCTTGATCGTTGGTGAAGTAGAGCGGGCGGCGATGTCTGGAGGGGGCTGGTTATCTCGGGTACGGGTGCCTTGATCCCGGGACGGAGCCGGTTGCGCTGCTGGTCACCGTGCTGAAGCCGGTTACGTTGAAATTGAGCTTCCCTGCAGCCTGGACAGAGCCAGGCTCGTTGATTCTCAGCGCGTTGGGGCCGGGACGGAGCCGGGTAGCGCAGCACACTGACGCCGGGACGGAGCCGGGCAGCGCACCGTTCGAGCAGCCAACCGTCGCGGCTC